CTCGTCTGTTGTACACGGGCCATGGCCCAAGGCTGTTTTGTTCATAGTTCATCTCCAGTGCCTAGAAGAGTGTCTGCCCCACACGGTGTCCACAGATGCGTTGAGCACAATGTGGCTCCCGGCTCTGAGACACGGACTCCAAGCCCCTGGGGTGGGGAAGGAGCTGCACACTGGGCGCCGGAATAAAGTGGGGGGCCACGGGGAAGCGAACGAGCTGCTTAGGTGCCGGATGCCCAGACGTGTCGCTCTTAGGGCGGGTGTCAGGCAGCTGAATGTTCGGCCCTGTGCCCTTCCCTTCCACCCTTGTCCTCTCTGAGCGCGCTCTCTGCAGGGCGGTCGGCAGAGGCCTTGCACAGATGCTTAGTCGAGAGGACTGGCCTGGCCTTTCGGCAGCCTGGCGTGGCTGGACCTGAGCTCGGCTGGTAGTTCCCAAGACCGGTCCTTGAGATGCAGCCTGCAGGCCAGCGGTCCTCAGCTGGGAGCTGTTTTGGCCCACCCTACCTGCCACACCCCTGTACCCCTACCTCCCGGACACTGGGGATTCTGGAGACACTTGGGTTGTCACAACTGGGAGGGGATGCTGCTGGCATCTGGGGGCGGAGGCCAGGGATCGTGCTAATGCACCACGCAGGACAGCCCCCCACAACGAAGAGTTCTCCAGCCCAAGATGCCCTGGGCACCCTGGCTGAGAAACCTGGCTGTCAGTCAGCCTGGAGCTTGCCAGCGGGTGCTGCCTTCAGTGTGGGGAGCAGGCGTACCCCAGAAACCCTTTTTGTTTTTAAAAGGACCTTGGAATCAGTATCCTAATTCCAGTCCCAGCGCAGTCAGCCTCCCTGGCTGGAGCTGCTTTGAGAGGCACATCCACATGCTCCCCAGAGAGCCCTGTGGCTCCTTCAAGAGACCCGTTTCCAAGGGCGGAGCCCAGCCCTGTGATGCAGCCTCTGGCCAGGAGAACCATGAGGCACCTTCTTGCCATCTCCATCCCCACCTTTCTCTTCAAACCTGATCCCGCACCCCCGCCTTCCACCACTTCCCCAGCCCCCACCCCGAGATTAATGCGATAATTGCCATGCGAGCCTGTTTACGCAGGGAGTGGGCGTGCTCGCCACCCCCAGTCAGGCGGGTTCCCAGAGAAGCACATTCCCACTCTGTCAGGACTGGGACCCGTTGAGCACTCCTGTGCAGGTGGGCTGCCACCCCCGACTGCTTTCTCTGTCTGTCATCACCCCTGTCATGCGTGTGTGTGTGTGTGTGTGTGTGTGTGTGTGTCACTTGGGGAAGAAGCAGGTGAGAAGGATGGGGAGCAGCCAGCCTGCTGGTCTAGGGGCTTGGCTGGGTCAGGTGGGAGGGGAATCAGCATCTCGGATTAAGAGGGCATCGCCCCAAAGAGTAGCAGCCTTCTGTAATGTCTGATGCACAACAGGTGTCCTGTGAACAGAGGAAGGAAGAGCCTGGCACTCTCTGTATGGTAGCTTTCTGTGGGGGGAGGGCGAGGGTAGGTGGCGCTGGTTTACACGTTGATGCTCCGCAGTAGAGATCTGGGCAGGGAAAGTCTCACTGCGAGACTCTCCTGGGACCACCACCCGGAGAACATGTTTAGAAAGCTGTGAGTCTCTTTCCCCAGGATCTTCTTGCTCAGGGACTTTAGCGTGGCTGTCCCCTGTTGCCCAAGGAAGAGTCGCTAGGGAAAATCAAGTGTGATGATCCTACATCCAAGTGTCTTGTCAGAGTCACAGAAGCAGAGGGTGGTAGTAGGGGGCACAGTGCAGAAGGAAGAAGTCCTCTCTCTCCCACAGACAGCCCCCCCCCCGCTGCCCTCCACCCGGTCATACAGACATACATACCCCAGGAGGGAACAGTCACAACTCTCGTTGACCTGTCAACTTTCTGCTCCTCACGTGGTACCGGGGCACTTGCTGCCTTGGGAGTTGTCGGTTACATTCTTTTTTTTTTTTAATCTCAGAAGACACTTTAGTAGTTATCTCTCCTACACTGGACAGTTTTAAGGTGTTAATAATGATGAATCAGAAGGAAATTGAAGCTCTAATTAGCATCAGAAAGAACCTCACTGTTTTGGGGGAAGGAAGTGTCAAGTCCTCTGTGTGCCCTTTCCTGCCGAGGCATGTGGCCTTGGCCAACTAGGCTGGATGTGTCATGGATCCATTGGCAGGCAGGTGACATGAGGGTGAGGCCACCCAGGGAAGATGGATGGAAGGGAGAGGAGAAAGGTGTAGAGAGGAGGCGGCAAGTGTATGAAAAAGATTTGTGAATAATCTCTGGGCTGTCAAGCTGCTTTCTCCAGAACCTTTTAAGCTGTCAGTCATCTTTAACACCCTCCAGAGCATAGTGCCACTGGGGCTGGGCCCCTCCCAGTTTTCTTTCTCCCTCTCTTCCCTTCCTTCTCTTTTGTTCATCCAACAGTCCCCAGTGCCATCGTGGATGACTTTTTTTTTTTTTTAAGCAATTCAGACAGAGCTTCACAGATGGAGAAGAGAATATCAGAATGATTCTTTTTTCGTGTGTATATTTCAAGCATGAGAATCATCTCATTCCAGTTGTGGTTGTTTGTTGATTACTTGAGCACCTATTGTGCCAAACGCTTTGTTAGGCGTCAGCTACAGAAGCAGGCAGACAGTCAAGGTGCTTGCCTTAGTGTAAGTTACAGCAGACCGAAAACATTCTCCCAAAACACCGAATACAAAGACGCTGTTCATCGTCAGTTTTCTGTAGAAGAATTGGAAAGCAGATTCCAGACTCTGGGGCAGGGAGGGGAGTCCCTGTGTCCCTGGTTTTCACAGGCTCTGTTTCCTAATTTTCAGAGGGAAAATCTATTGCAGAGATTTTCTTTGAGAAAGGAGGTTTTAAATAAGGAAGTATATAGAATGATGGAATAAACAAAGTAAGTGGTCTTTTTTGTGGGTCTTCTCACAGACTAAAGGAAAAATCTGATTTGTTGTGTTTTCCAAGTTTCTTTGGTGATAGAAGCCCATTTTCCACACAAACATTCTTCAGACCTCCATGGCTTCTCCAGCAAACAGTCACCCAACTGAAACTGCTCAGCTCTCTTCAAACTGTAACTCAGTCAGTTCTGGGCCCAAAGACACCTTAACAATCACAATTTCATCATCACCATCACTGACCCCAACTATGGTTCATTGGCAACTGAGCCCTGACCTGGATGCTAGGAGCAGACTCAGTCCTTGGTGATGAAGAACGCTGAGTGGGGTGGGGTGGGGTGGGGTGGGGCAGGGGGCTGGCTGAGCCAGACAGGGAATGAAACTTGTCCATCTGAGCAGCCCTGGTCAACCGTCGGAGCTAACTAGTTTTAGAAAATGTTGCATTTTTAATCACGAATAAAGACAGAGCCAGCTGTACTAGTCTCATTCAGTCCATCTTTCAGCTCCCAGGAGGGCCCACGTTTCCACTGTCTCAGAAGGAAAACAGTTTCCAGTGTCCACTAAAAGCCCTGAGTCCCATGGCGCCGAGCTCTTCATACTTGAAGTGGGGCCGTTTTCTCCTGGGTCCGGCCCACGTCTTCCCTGCTTATGTTCGACTGAGCGCACCTGGTCAACATGAAGAGTTACCTCTCATACACTGAGACTAGCAAGTCCCTGCCTTTGTCCCGTTCAGTTCAGAGAGTGTTTGTTTTTAACTTTTCTTTTGCTTTAGTAGCAGTCACATCTCTCTGAACAGTGTAGGGGCAAGACAGAAGTCACAGGTTTGGTGAAAGAGGTTGCCCGGAAAGTTCTTTGTAGTGGCAAATATACTGTGCAGCAATGGCTGCGGTCAGAACCGGGGGGAGGCAGAGAGGAGACGAGATAACTTGGGAGAAGAACCAGGTAGAATGTCATAGAGGTCCACAGGGAGCATGAGTTCAGGGAATCGAAGTATGTGTGCAAAGTTGAGTGGGAGGTCCATTGGAGGGACATAGAAATGCTGAGTTCATAGCTTCATTTTACTAATTTAGCGTGTGAATTTGAGGCAAGGCATTTGAACTGGATTCTTTTTTCTCCAGTAAGTAAAGGGTAAAATATCTTTCTAGAAGTTGAATTTCAATCAGGTATTAAAGGTTTGTTTTGTTTTGTTTTTGAAGGGGGAGATTTCAAAGCTCTACATATATAAAATGCAATTCAAGGAGACTGTTTTGAAAGAATTGTGGTTGATATCTTGGGGGCAGGGCACGGGGTCAAGGTGAAGCTTAGTTGAGAGGCTCAAGTGTTAGAGAGCACTTTTCAAAATGCTCCCAAATGCTGTTTCAAGGTCCTACCTAGTAAGACACCTGCCAAGAGGCATTTTTCGTGGCTAAGGCGCGTGTGTAACTTCCCCTCAGGCCCACCTCCACCAGGCCTGGCATCTAGCATGTGGTGTAAGGATCCAGAATGTGGGTAATCAGCATTTTTAAGGTCATGGTGTGTTAGCATTAGAAAGAGAGCAAGGATCACTCTTCAAATCTAGATATATTCTTCATTCTGTCCAGAGCCTTGCTGGGCCCCCTCTGTACTGAGACTGGTGGGAGAAAGCCAGAGTTCAGGTCAAGGGCTGAGCAGGATGTGGGTGACCCTAACTTCTCTCAAGCAACCCTGGGAAGGCCTTGGCCAGCATCTGTGGAATCGAGTGCCCCGTCTTTTCGAGAATTTGTCTAATTTAGAATGCAAAAACTTAGAACCCACATCATCAACCACTATAAAACCAGTGATTCTTTGCATGATCTCAGAAGAGTAGTTGGCCTTTCTGGGTTCTGTTCTCTCATCTGTTAAGTGAGGGTGTTAGACTATTGCAACTCAGGAAGTTACAGGAGGCTGATGCGGTGGCCTTCACTACGCATATGGGAGAGTGAGTTAACCCACAGCAACACCAGATTGGGAGTGGAGCAAGGCAATGTTTGACTGCATCACACCGGGCTTGTTACATTATCCTCTATGGGACACTGCAAGAGCAGAGGCCTTCAGCTGGCACGGGGTTCTGATGAATTATTAAGGACCCATTTTTCTTTCTTTCAGACCAATGATGCCTTAGGAGCCACCTGGAATTGGCTATACTTCATCCCCCTCATCATCATTGGATCCTTCTTTGTTCTCAACCTAGTGCTGGGAGTGCTTTCCGGGTAAGCCACGTGTTCCTTCTAACCTCTTTCTAATGCTCCTAACTCATAGCAGATTCATTCATTGAAGCTTCACTTACTGAGCAGCCCCTGTGTGCCAGGTGATGTTTCTGATGTTGGGAATGCAGTAGTGAACTGTTTTTTAATCATCTTTCTTGCTCTTAGGAAGTTTGAAAAAAAATCTTTTTTATCAGGTACAATATTGAACACAGTATCTACTGAAAGTTCATTTGTTCATCCATCCTTTCATTTAGTCACTCAGCAGTCACAGACCTTCTGTGTCAAACTCTGTGCTGGCTGTTAGGGACATAAAGTCAAATACGATACAGGCTCTACCCTCAAAAGACTTACTTTATCATGTATTGGACATCAGATCCCATATGTGAGGCTTGGATCAGTATGTATCAATCAGCAAGCAACTCCTTGTCAATGCCATGAGAAACACTGTAGGAAGTACATGAAGTATAAGGCCTGGTCCCTGCCTTTAAGGACCTTATGTTTTAAGGCAACACAAATACTTGAAACAGGGAATGGGAATATCTTGTATCTGACTGATACAAGATACAGTTAATTTGGGGGAAGGGAAAAACCTATATTGTCTGAAGGTATCAGAGATGGTTGCATGAAGTACTGGGATTCTGTTTGGAATATGAAAATATGTATTATGGAGCAAGGGCTCGCTGCCTTGTGTGCATAGAAGCCAATACCATGGCACCAGCTTTTGAGAAAAGAATGAAACGTTTATTATGAGGTTGACGGGGAAGGAGATAGGAGGCAAGGCTCACATCTGTCTCCCTAGTCGGAGGTTTTGGGGCCAGATTGAAGGGATTTCAGCACTGGATCTCCCTGGACAGCAGAGCCTTCCCTTCTGCAGCGGCTCTGGCCTCCAGGTTCTGGCCGTGCCCTGGTCCTTTGGTTCCACAGGGCAGGGGCGGGGAGCAGTTAAGGGCGTATAAGTGGTTCTCGTCAGTGGTGTATCCAAGGTTTAAACTTTGGTTCCAGGTTAGAAGCAGAATAGGACCGATTTGGGCTGGTGATATCATTAGGTATATGTAACAAGATAAAATAAAAATGTGGATATAAATATTCCAGGAAGGCGAGAGCACCATACCTTAACCAAAGATGAAGAAAGGGGACTTGTCATGCAGAGTGAAGAGATTTTAATGAAACCAGACTTACTCAGAGTGGCAGTCTCACTTTGTTTTCAAAAGTGTTTAATGGTTCTATCAAAAATATATACATATGAATATGTGTGTATATATACACATACATACAAATGTATAAATAAAATATATATGAATATATAAATGTATTTGTATACAGATGCACCCCCTGATCTGAGCAGTTAATTTTACAAAATACAAAAATGTTACCACTAAAGGAACAAAAAGCACAGGAAGTCCTGGATGCATTTACACTGTCACTCTGGATTTTGAGGTGACCCTATGTGCTCTTATTGTCTGGAGAGGATGGGGGGAGGGAAAGGGAACGAAAAGCTTAGGTTCCACAGTAAGGCAGTCCTTAAGCAATATTTCAATGAAAGGTATAAAATAAGAGGGTAAAAACAGGGGTAGATTTTGGAGGGTCTTCCATTTTTCTAAGCAAAATTGAACTTTCTTGTCTGAGTGGCATAAGTTCTTCAAGTGAAAACTTGGAAGGTGGTGGTTCTGTTTAAACGTGGCAGATTGAACCAACCTGGTCATCTCTTGTAACTCCTAACACAGCAAGTAAGACGGGCACAGTGACAAAAAGGACAGGAGAAGAAATGACAACAGATGAGAGATAGCAGCAGAATTTTTGAGGATAGAAAATAAAAGGCAACGGACCTAGTGGTGGGAAAGCAGAGGGTCCGTCACCCTGCCGAGGCATGCCAATAAAGACACGCGACACGGTTGCCCTGCAGCACTGCAGGGCCCTAGAACGGCCCGGGAATCGGAGGCACCAGGCATATGTGAGAGCTGGGGTCTGCGTAGCCCTAATGATAGGGGGGTGGTCAGAAGTCCTTGTGAGGAGCACCGAGCAGCCCTCCCCCGCCCCCCACTCACAATGCTGACAGGTATTTGCTAACCCCCCACCCCCGCCTTCACTCCAGACAAAGTTAGAGGTCCATTCCCTGTCCAGGCTGAATGGGAGAAGCTGGGAAAGGTAACAGCCGGTACCGCCCAGGGCGGGGCCAGCGCAGTGTGGTGAGTGAGCGTGTGGGCTGCCCACCCTGGTGGCGTGGCTCTCAGAACTGGCGTCTGGAAGGAGCTCAGAGGATCGGTGGGGCGTTCATTTCCCCCGTGGGGAAACTAGTAAGCCTGTGAGCCAAGGCCTGTGTAAGCTGATCACTGAGGGTGACCCAGAGAAGGGGTTCCCACCCATCACCTTCAGTGAGGCTCACGATGGTAGTTTCCTGTGGCTGCGAAAACAAATCACCACAGACTGGGTGGCTTAAAACTGTGAGAGAAGGTAATTCTCTCACGGTCCTGGAGGCTAGAGGCCCACACTCCAGCAGGCGCCTGGCCACACGGCCCTCCTAGGGCCCCCGGGAAGCGTTTCTTTCCTTCCTCCGTCTGCCTCTGGTGGCTGCAGGCTCTCCTTGGCTTGCGGCTGTGCCACTCCCACCTCTGCCTCCGCAGTCACATTGCCTCCTTCTCTTCTGTCTACCTCTCTCTTATGACGACACTCGTCATTTCATTTAAGGCTACTTGGACAATCCAGGGTGACTTCTTCATCTCAGGATTCTTAATTATATCTGCAAAGCCTGCTTTTCCAACTATGCTAACAGTGACAGGTTCTAGGAATTAGGAGGTGGACGTATCTTTTTTTGGCCGGGGTTGGGGGTACCACGTAATGCGCTCCGCTCGCTGTTCTCCAAGCCCCGACCATGCACACAGAATTTCCAGTGAGCCTTTTGTGACTTGCCCTTCCATACGAACACACCGCTACAGAGCATTGTCATTGGAAGAAAATGTCCAACACAAAGGACAGAAAAAAAACAATACATAGAAAAAGGGAACTTGAGGGAAAAGGAACAACACAGGGAGCAGAAGATAACTTTTAAAAAGTATAATTGATATCAGCAGACATTGGTGAAATAATTTTACCTACAGAGTAACAGGTTGCTATGAAGAGAAAATTTTAGCGGTTAAGAAGGGCTCTTGGACATTAATATAAAATAGTTAATGTAAAATTTACGTTAACGTAAAATGCAAAATTTACATTAAGACGAATGAATAAAAAAATGTTTAATTAAAAAGTAAAATGGTTGGAATATAAAATTGGTGAAATTATTTAAAAAGTAGAACAAAAATAAAATCAGAGCATAGGTCAAACATTCAATAAGGGTTACATAAAATGCAAAAGAAGAAATTAAGAAAAAAATACAAATGTTCCCAGTACCAGTAAACTCACATTGCCAGATTAAAAGATCGGTGGGGACACGTGCAAGAATACCCTTGGCAGCCTCGTTCTGGGTGGTGCGCAGCCGGAGACGCGCGGGGCCTCCGAGACTGGGAGAGGAGATGGGGGGAGTCGGGCGCGCCCCCTGGCGGACTCGGGCGCGCCCCCTGGCGGACTCTGCCGCGCTAAGGAGCAACAAATAACCACGTGCACACGGCAACACAGAGGATCCCAAAAACATAGAGTTTAGTGAAAACAAGAAGGAAACAGTGTGATAATATATCATTTTCATGAATAAAAATACATACATACAGTACAGTTTCTGAAATGCGTTCAAATAAAAAGTGGACATTGAATATATTGTAATGGCAGTTTGTTTGGCAGGAAGATGGGAGGTAGGCAGGGAGATAAAAGGGAACAGACGCATAATGAAAATGTCCACTGAGCGTTCCACACAACTAATAAAGAGGCCACTCCAAGATGAATCTTCATGGAATTTCAGAGCATCTCGGTAAAGAGAATATTCTAAAAGTTTCTGGTGATTGGGAAGGGGATGGATTTTACCTGCAAAGATTTGTGAATTAGGATGCCTTTGGGCTCCCACATGACATGGAAAGAAACCAACAGAGAAGTCCCTAATACTTTCTGAAGGAAAAAAATTTTCAGGATGGAAGTCTATACCCAGCCAAAATAGCAATTATTTGTGAGGATGGAATAGAAGTATTTTCAAACATTCTTTCTGAAGGAGTTACTGGAGAATGTGAGTCACTAAGATAAAGACATGATTGAAGAAAGAGGAGGACATGGTACTCATGGGAGTGGAAACAGGGGATTGAGTAGAGGAGAGAGGCAAACCCCAGGATGACGGTGAAGGGCAATCTAGGACGAAAGCTGTCAGAGGCCCCGACAGAGCAGGTTCAGATTTGGGCAGGAGGACAGAGGGCTCTAAAAACGATTTCCTTTAAGAAAAAAATGAAACTAATATATTCCCTGATGACGATTGTATTCAGAAGTGTTTAATGGTTTTATCAAAAATATATACATATGAATGCATGTGTATATATACAAATATATAAATAAAATATACATGAATATATAAATATGCATTTGTATACAAATGTACCCCCTGATCTAAGGAGTTAATTTTACAAAGTACAAAAATGTTACCACCGAAGGAACCGAAGCACGGGAAGTCCCTGAGGCATTTCCATTGTCACTCTGGATTTTGAGGTGACCCTTACGTGCTCTCATTGTCTGGGGAGGATGGGGGAGGGTAAGTATGGGGAGGGAAAGGGAATGAAAATCTTAGGTTCCACGGTAAGGCAGTCCTTAAGCAATATTTAAAATTGAAAGATAAAGAAATGGCAGCTGTATGAGTATAATATTTTGAAAACTGGAAATGAATAGCAGAAGGAACAGGTAAAAAAATTGTAAGTACTTGCCTCTGGGGAGTGAGAATCAGAGATGGGAGAGGCGGTGAGGCAGTGAGCTGCTCTTTTTTTCACTCTTACGTCTTTTTAAAATACTTGAATTTAAAACTTAACATGCATTACTTTGAGAAAATAGAAATTAACTTCAAAAGTAAAAATTGCACCCTCGTAAGGCGTCGGACTGGAAGA